CGCAATCACAAAAGATCACGTCGACCACCTTAGAGATTGCTTTAAAACCCTTGAGAAATATGGCATGAAGCTAAATCCAGCCAAATGCACATTCAGCGTAACCTCATGGGAATTCCTAGGATACGTTGTCACTCAAAGAGGGATAGAAGCAAACCCGAAGCAAATATCGGCAATTCTGGACCTCCCTTCGCCAAAAAACACACGAGAAGTACAAAGGTTAACCGGCAGAATCGCCGCTCTAAACAGATTTATCTCGCGATCAACGGATAAATGCCTACCCTTTTATCAGTTACTTCAAAGCAACAAACGCTTCGATTGGGACGAAAAGTGCGAAGAAGCATTCACGCAGCTAAAGCACTATCTGACCACCCCTCCAATATTGGCAAAACCGAAGAACAGCAAAATTTTATATCTCTACATCGCAGTCTCAACAGCGGCAGTAAGTGGCGTCCTTGTCAAGGAAGACTGCAGTGAACAGAAACTGATTTTCTACGTCAGCAAGACTTTCGATGGAGCCGAAACACGCTATCCAGCATTAGAAAAACTTGCTTTTGCAGTCATCATCTCAGCACGGAAATTACGACCCTAATTCCAATCCCACTCTATCGTCGTCTACACCAGCCAACCACTTCGAAGCATCCTGCACAGCCCAAGCCAATCCAGCCGAATGGCTAAATGGGCGATTGAACTTTCAGAGTACGATATCGAGTATCGCGCTCGAACCAGCGCCAAATCTCAAGTATTGGCAGATTTCATGATCGATATACCACCGTATCTACTAGAAGAGAAGTCACCTACAGAAAACCAATAGAATCTTTATGTAGACGGAGCATCTTCGAAGCAGGGGTCAGGAATCGGTATCTGTTTGAAATCTTCGACCGGAGAAATTCTTGAGCAATCCTTCAAACTCAGTTTTCCCGCTTCAAATAACAAAGCTGAATACGAAGCTCTACTAGCCGGACTTCGGCTCGCCCACGAAGTAAAAGCAAAACACGTCCACGCTTTCTGCGATTCTCAGCTCGTCGCCAGCCAATTTAGGGGGGATTATGATGCAACAAACGAATGAATGGACGCATATCTTAAGCAAGTCCAGGAAATAGCAAAACAGTTCGATTCCTTCGAACTAACCAAAATCCCGCGAACAGAAAACACCGCTGCCGACGCACTGGCAGCATTGGCATCGACAACGGATCCTGCCCTAAAACGAACAATCCCGGTAGAGATTATCGAACATCCTAGTATTCAACTATCAAAAGGATCCTGCAACGCAGTATTACATCAGGATGACCAGGCAAATGATCCAATGGAGGAAGATGCCGAACAGCAGGAGAAACCTTGGCAGGACGAAATCAAAGCCTACCTGTTAGAAGGGATCGTTCCGGAAGACAGATGGGCTGCTAGACACCTCCGGAAGAAAGCAGCGCGATATTTATAGAAGAAGGAAACCTATTCCGATGGACAGCGAACAAAGTAATATTGCGATGCTGTGATGAAGCACAAGCCAAAAGAGTTATGATAGAAACTCATGACGAAGCAGGCGGGAATCACTCAGGAGGACGAGCTTTAACACTAAAAATCAAGAAGCACAGCCTACTATGGCCCAGGATGATCCAAGATTGCAAACAGTTCGCACTCCGATGTGAACCGTGCCAGAAATACGCTCCAGCCATTAGTGCGCCTGCTGAATTACTTCAGACTGCCGTTCCACCATATCCTTTCATGAGATGGGCAATGGACGCAATTGGCCCAATGCCCAAGTCAGGCTGCAATCAGTATATCCTGATGGTAACAGACTACTTCACAAAATGGGTCGAGGCTAAAGTCTACCCCACCCTCAAAGGAATGGTCGTACAGATTTTTATCTGGGAGTACGTCATATGCCGACACGGTCTCCCGTCTGTTTTCCATTCACCTCGTCTGTTTTCCAGAGTTTCTGCAAAAAGTGGGGGATACGCATAAGTTATTCGACACCATGTTACCAGCAGGGCAACAGGCAAGCAGAAGCCTCTAACAAAACAATCCTTGATGGTCTCAAAAAACGGCTAAGTGAGCTAGAAGGACGATGGGCGGACGAGTTGGATGGAGTACTTTGATCCCATCAAACGACTCCACGGACCGCCATAGGATAAACTCCATTCTCACTATCCCATGGCTGCGAAGCTTTGGCACCGGCTGAGTTGCATGTACCTAGTGCCCGGCGAGCCTTGAAGATTCGAGATCCTCAGTTGAATGAGGAAAAACTAATCGATGCAGCAGACAACGTGGAAGAACTTTGCGAGAAAGTCTTATTACGAATTCAGAATTACCAGCAACAGGTTTCTAGGTATTACAACAAGAAAGTCCGAAGCTGACTATTCTCACTTCACGACCTCGTCTTGCAAAGAACCATTAACCCATTAAAACTCAAGCCAAATTGGGAGGGACCATATCGTATTACAGAAATCCTCAAACCCGGCGTCTATAGACTGGAAGATATGAAGGGCAAGCCAGTCGAACGAGCTCGCAACTCCATGAATCTAAGAAAATATTATACTTGAAAGCCACAAACTCGACAAAGAATGTACTACTAAGAACTACGAATGACTTGATCCCACTTTGGGTACGTAGGCAGCCTTCGGGTTCAGTCACTATCTTAGTAAAATTACTTTCATAAACCTTTTTCAGCTCGGCAAAAGAGCTATATGCGAATGCATCTTGCTGAATCGATGTTCTGGCCAAACAATCGATTCAACGAAAGCAAGCAAAATTAAATTAGTGGCTGATCACCACTCCTTTGACGCTTCAGTTCGCTTTAATTACTTCCGAAGTAGATAAGATGAAAGCGGAGGACAATACTCGTACGAGTCTCGATCATATCTTTCGAACCAAAGTACATTTCAAAAAAAATTGGTATTCGATCCTGAATGTCGTTTGGTGTAAGACGAGCTAATGAATCTCGCGTCCATCACCGGCCTAAAGAATGCCCATGCACCGCAAGACAAATTTTTTTTTTTTGACTTTGCAAAAAAACCTTAGAATTAAGGGGGTGAGTACGAAACGAAATAGGTAAACTTTTTTCCATTAATCTTGGTATTACAAAAAAAAACAACAAAACCAATTATAAAGCCCTACGTCGCTTCGGTAGCCGAATCCCTGCTGCCGCTAATTCCGCATCCGAAGGCCGCATTTGAACACGTGAAATCATCTGAAGAAATTGGAGCATCCTTCATATTATAACGCTCCATCTTCGAACGATCGGCCGCAGCAGAATGAGTCAAAAACTCTTCAACCGGAATCTCGTGCCCTACCGACCTAAGCTGCTTATAGCAATTCGCCCTCGCCTCGGCATCGATAATCCGAAGTTCCAGCCGATGAATATCGGGCTCTTGCGCCATAAATTCCTTGATATGCTTGATGCAAGGATCGTACCATTCGCAAAGACGCCGATACATTAAATCCACCACGCGATCAACCGAGATACCCTAGTGATCTCGGAACACTTTCTCCTTAGCAGCCGCGCTCTTAACTTCCTCAGCCGCCTTCTTCTCGAGACTCTCCTCGAGAAGTCTTATCTTCTTGGCAGATTCAATATCAAGCGCCTTATAATCGAGCTCTAACTTGAGCTTCTCGCGTTCAAGATCCTTGATCTTCGCCAAAGCATCACGAAGCTCTCGATTTTTTTCCAATAACTCCTCAGACCTATTCTCCTCCCGAACGGACTCTTTATCATACGATTCAACCAAAGACGCGCATAAACCTAAACCTTGCATAAAACGTTGCGCCATTCCAGAAAAACAGGCAAATCATTTCAATTTCTCCACGGACATTCCTTGGTTAGGCTTCGTCCTACATAACCAAGCCAAATTCGCTGCAAAGTATTCATCGAACATTGCCGGAGAATTCCCGCCTCAACGAAGTAGGAATTCATGAGGATTGAAGCTAGGTTCATCACCAGTCGCCACCGATCCTTCCGGCGAAACGCCTTTTTCCGACGGACTAAAAGCATGCTCTTCGGCCGGCGCAAAAACCCTTCTTCTTCAATCGGCAACTCTGTACCCAAATCCTCTGCCGAGATTTCCGAAGGTGACCCCTCCTTCACAGGATCTTGCGGTGAACCTTCCAATCTTGGCTGCTTACGCGGAGAGAAATCAGGGATATCCACATCCAACAAGGGAATTTTGCTTCTTCTCTTTAAACCCATATCAGTGTCAGTAAATAAATCTTAGCACAATCAGGGCAGAAATCAGCAAGGAATTTTCTTCGAATCAAACAAGGAAGATGAAGGTTTTTCTAAAGCAAGAAGACTAAGAGGTAAAGGTAAAGTAAATAAAAATCGGAAGACATATCGACAGTTTCCTAAAAGGACGCGTGTCAAGATTTCTACAATCTCGCCAACCCTTCGCATTTCGCAGAAACCCTAATGGGTCGGGGTATTTAATAAATAAACAAAAAAGCGCCACGTAACGAATCCACTAAAAATCAAGCCGAACTGGCTGTCGCAAAAGCAACGATCTTGACGAACTAACAGTTATTGCGAGGTCAAACCCATTTATAATTTCATGAAGTCGCCGACCTTATTTACAATCAGTCTCGCCGAACTGGGGGGGACTTACTGTTAGAGGGAAAACAAGCACATTTCCTAAAAAGGCCTTCTCCGCAATAACCTAAGCCCATCAAGACCAGGAAGACCGCGCCGACCTAGCTCGGATTATAAAAAAACTCTTAAAAGACGATTATAGAAGACCGGAAACATCGGATAAAGGAGAATTTCCATATTCTTCGGAGAATAAGAGATATTTACATATCGTAGATACGGAAATATTCACGAATGACAAAAGAAAAATGAGTTCGGAGCAACCGACCTCCTATCCCTATAAATACAGAGACCCCGAAGTCTAGAAGAACAACTCGTACATTAGAGGGAGCAGCAGAGCTAAAAACATAGACTCCAACGCTTTTTCTAGTTTACTTCGCAAACCTTCTTTTCACTTCGGCATAATCTATCGGTTATACCTTTCTTTGTAAATTGCTACGCTTTCTTACTATTAATAAAATATCTTATTTTCCTAAACCCACAACTGTTAATCAAACTCTAGTGGTGATTTTCTGGTTCAACATCAAAAGTACAAAAGTATAATGTACAACGGAAAATTAATAACTCGAATGAATCCGAGGGAAAGTAAACACCCTAAGAATATCATGTGTTTTTGGACAGAAATAGAACATGGAGAAGATGATATCAAAGGTTTATCACAGAAGTAGTATAGAAGCAAAAACAGAGAGACGAAGAGATAGAGTGAGTCGGATTTGCCCGCTAGGCCTAGGTGCTTGTGCATTGGTTGATGAAGTTGGGGTTGGGGCTTTTGCAGTAACCGGAGGTAGTGGTGGCTCAGAGACATCATCATCTGTGAAAACCGAGCTTGGAGCTGGGGCTGAGGCTGGAGGTGCGAACGTAGGACTCGTTCTAGATAAGAGGCCACCAGGTGGAACAGGGGACATGTAAGCTGGAGTTTCTTTTCTGCCCAAACATTGATTCCCTGCAGAAGAGAAACAGATTTAGGGATTTTTTTAGACCTTTTGGTAGAAGTTTTGGGCCACTTACTTTTGTATCTTGCAGCTGTGAAAGGGAACTCGGTGATGGTTCCGTTGATACCGACTCCAGTGATGTATGAGTTTAACTCAACGGTTGCATCAGCGAAGAAGTCAAATGGTTGAGATACAAACTCGTTGTGAAACAGTTCGACATAAACCGAGAGCCTAGACTTCACCAGCCTCTCCACAACGTTGGTTTGTCGAGTGATGAAATTATCAGGGAAGGGAAGTACTGATGATCTTCTGATGACAACAGCGTTAGCGAATTTCTTTATGTCTTCGATAGCAGAGTCATGAATATCACTAATGATTTCTTCAATTTTGTAGACAGTCTCGTACTGGCTCTGCTTCTTAAATTCAACAAGAACCGAGCTGTCCGTTGACTGAATCATGACCTTTGTTGCGGTTGTTCCATTGCTGTAACCAGTTTCTGCGAGTGTATCGAGAACTTCTTTAACCACGTCGAGCCCTTGCTTCTCTCTCAGGTACACTGCATTCTAAAGGACACAAAAACATAGTGCCTTGGCCATTAGAAGTTGTAAGAGTATGATTTTAAAAAACCTAAGGTTAAGAGGTACGATAACTCACCTCTACACTGATCAAAACACCGGACAGAGAAGTGGAGTTCTTTGCCATGTTTAAGAATTCAGAAAGCAAAATAAGCTCCCCAGAATTTTTCTCAATCGGATTTCTAAATAAAACAGATTCTTTGAAGGGGTTTGAGATAGCAGCTGCACAAAAAGTTGTGTGAATAGTTATCGTAACTCACAAGTTATGCTATTGAGCTAAGAGAGTAGGAGTACAAATAGGGTTTTGAACTTGTTACAATAAATATTAGGGATAATAGTTTGCAGAACAGACTAGCATTTGTCTGACGCAAATGGAAAATTTGAAGGGAAACTTACGAGTCAAGGCATGGATCTCAGGCCATGTGAGACTAAAAGTGTATATTCCACTAACTGAGCTAATCTCAGGAACAGTTGTTGAACGGTTTCTGAGGTGTGTTTGTGCGACCATTGTGCTTTCCGAAAGATCTATGGAACTTGAGCAAAAGGGTTTACCGTCGCTGGACATTTGGACCGAGCAATCGATAACATCAGCACCATCTTTGATTGCCTTTTCATATGCCTTGTCTGTACAACCAGGATAGTCCCCACTTGCTCCATTTCTTGATATAACAAGAAAATCCACTGAAACATGAACCATTTGGTAAATGATAAAGTCAGCAAGGAAGAAAATAAAAAAATGTAAAGTATTTACTATCATTACCTTGTTTTGTAGCGTTTCTGCTTAAGTGGGAGAAGCAGTCTGAGGAAATTTCAAATAAAAATGTTTCATTTGAATATTTCCCAACAAATGTTTTAAGGACAAAATGGGGTTTGTAGAAGAGATTTTTCTTACCAATGGATGCAGATGCAGTAATGGGAAAATCAGTGAGCACGCCATCAACAGAGAAATCACCATTATCAATAAAAGATAGATACTCAGACACTGGATCGAAACTGTAGTTATATGCAATATCAGCATCATTTGCAAAACCTGATACAAAAACTTCTAATCCTGCTTTGTGAGCATCTTGAACTAAGGATGTAGGAGGACGCACGTACTGCTTGTCATCGAGTGGCCAAATGTAAAACTTTGGAACAAGAATCCCCGAAGCAAATGTCTTGACAAAAGTTAGGTTACTCAAGATAGAACCGTAAGTTTGGTTTGTTGTCGGCTCCAATTCTTCTTTCTCAAGAAACCGGAACACGAAAGCTGGCCCGTTAGGCCCCAAACGTCCAGAAGTTTTCTGGAAGAGATTCACTTCAGGGGAAGAGATGTAGTCAATGGAAACAGTTCTTGAAGTTGATATCAGAAAACTGGTCACGCTAAAATTTTGTTGCGTGTAGAACGCATCGTGCTGAACATTTAACCAAAAATTTGTTGGTTTAATCTGCGTGGCTACGTCTTGAACCGTCAAAATCGGGTACCCATCGAATTTTTCTGACCGAGATAATATTCCTCGTCTCACTGCAACATGTAAAACAAAAAATAATAGAAAAGACACATTTGTAAGTAGGTACAAGAAAAACCCAAATTCTCTTTACAAACTTACAGGTAACGTTCATGAGGGCTCTCAGGGAGAAATCAATGGTGAACCAAGCCTGGGTAGGGACCCCATTAACCCGGTAAGATTTTTGGCGATTTGGGTAAACATCTTCAATATTTGAAGCATTGTTCAGTTTTAAATCAGGGAAGCAAATGCCTTCTCCATCTTCGGTTAGCTGAACATCGCACCATAGAACAGCACCGGGTACACTTACCTCCATTGCGAACATGTAGCCAGCGATACTCGAATCTGGAAACAATCCAGAAAATCCACCACGAGCAATCACAAGAGGAGCATCACCTGATTTAAAACAAAAACAAAAAAAGGAATTATATAATATTTTAATTTAAAAGAAAAAACTAATTATTGAGACTTCCCAACTTCTACTACACAAATGTATCAAGAAAACACACGCCCAACTACTAATTTCTCTCGTTTTCACCTATTTTCTCAGAAAACTATGCGCAAAAAAAAGAGAGGGAGAAAGTGGAAGCACTCTCACCACTGAGTGTCTGCCATGGTCTTTGAGCATCAATTTGAGCAGCAAACAGCTGAATCAGAATAACACCACAGAGTAAAGCCGTTGAAGCTCGTAAACCTCTTATTGTCGGATCACTTCGCCGGAAATTCATCGGTTAACTTCACAAGCTTCGTTCTTTTCTTGGAGACCTACACCATACTTATATACAAAAAAAAAGAATGGTAGATATTTCGCTTAAAGCTATGTCTAACTTCAATGGTTTTGTGCATAAGCGTTGGCATTCATAGTGGACAAGTACAGAGAGAGACTCAAGAGCTTGTTTTTGTGTGTGTGTCTGCGTGTGTAAATGGCTTTATTAGCTGACTCTTAAGACTTGAAGTCGTTTCTTAAGCTTTTTTTTTTTTTGTAACTAAGTCGTCTCTTAAGTTTTGTAAGCCAAACACAAAATTGTAACAGAGAAAGCTTTTTTTAGTCTAGTCGTTTTTTTTCATTTTCTTTCCCTTGGATATGGATAAGGTGGTCAAGAAAACGAAAAATGATTGGTCATTTACTAGATCACCTCATGATGAAATAATTCTTTCTTTCATATTTGTTTTTAAGAAATATTCTAAAATAATCTATAACTAGGTGATTGGTGGTATTGGAGGTTATAAAACATATTATATGCTTAATATATAATTAATATTGTATATTAAAGATACTTTATTTATATTATTAATTGTGTATTAGTAATAACATTATGTAAATATTTAATAATAAAAAATAACGATAAATCAAATGAAAAATATTATAGATTTCAATAGAAGTTGAAAATAAAAAAATATTAATCAAAATTTAAAAATACTTTCTTAAATAAAAAGTGTAAATATGGTAATTAAATAAACTGAAAACATTAAAATATATAATAATTTATTTAATTTTTATGGTGGACCCACAAGCATGTACACATATAATTTTTTTATAGACATAATTATTTGTAATATTTAAGTATTCATTAGTTTTCTTATACATTATGTAAATATTATATTTTTATACATATACAGTTTTAGTGTTTAACAACAATCACATAAACGTTTCATACCGTTTTGTGTATTTTGAAAAGCAATTTATTTTTTTAGCGTTTAGAGTGACATATAATTTCAAAAATAAAAGTTATATGAAATAATAATTCAATTCTTATTATATGTTTTGAATATTATATATACTATGCTTTCTTTTCTTCTTACATATAATCTTGTCAATATATATATATTTTAAGTATACATTTTTTTTGACCTATTGCTAATTAAACCAAAATGAGGTTTACCATTTTTATTTGCGTACCAGCCATCTCACTGCTTTTAGAAAATATAGAGATTTTTTTAAAAAATATTCCGTATGTTCCTTAAAGAATATATTTTATGATTTTCACACTTATTAAGAAAAGTCTTGAAATGACATATTTGTCCTTTAGTTTTTGTTCACATAAAATAAACAAATAGATAAAAAAAAATAAGAGTAAAATTAGAAATACTTAACAAAAACTCTATTGAAAAATGAGAAAATTCATCTTTTTGAAACAACTAGAATTAAAATGAGATTGTAATCGAGGTTAACAAAATGCATGCACGACAGTTCGCATGCAAGTTTGAGTTTTGCACAATTAATATTTATATCCCCATGCATATTTGTGAAAAAATAAAAGTATAGATTTTATGTGTTAAAAGAAAATAACAAATATATGTTTGGTAATATATATTTATATAATGTATGGTTGAATTTTGTTTTAAACAAAATACATATATTTATGCATTTAAGTATGCGTTAAAAATAAGTGAATTGTAATATTTTTAGATGTTGGTTAATTTTTATGATATTTTCGCAAACATAATGTTTTACACGATGTAATTTTTGGCGTTTAACAATAATTATGAAAACTAATTCTATCGTTTTATGTTTAATCAAAATTATTTATTTTCAGTATTTTATGATATATGGTTTCTCAATAATAATTATAATAAATATTTGTTATAAATTTTGTAAAATCATATTTTATAAAATTCTCTGGAAGCTCTCCGCTCATCTCTTCGTCAATTTTTTATAGTCTGCAATCGCTCGCTTCCACAAACCTGCAACGTTTAAACCAGTCGGATACTAAACTTATATGTGTATGGTTTAAGGTGTAAAATAATATATTTAATAATTTATTGCTATATTAAAAATTAAGAGTTCTTTTATTTCTAACTTTGATATATGTGTTAATATAAAATATAATGGATCAGAACATATAAAAAACATGATTCATGAAATAATATTTCAATATGTTACAAAAATATATGCATGAAATAATTAATATGTGTAATATAATATTTTTAAATATTTCAAATAATAATATAAAATCGATCAAAATTATTTGAAAAGCCACCCCGAGCAATCACAAGAGGAGCATCACCTGATTTGAAACAAAAACAAAAAAGAGACACAAGTAATTATTATCTATAATTATCCGAACTATCAGTATCGAGAAAACACAAGTCCCAGTACTAATTTCTCTTGCTTTCACCTATTTTCTCGGAAACAAAGCACAAGTACGAGTACTGCATTCTCATGTTTTCTCGGAAAATCATGTTTAAAGAAAGAGAGATCAAGTGAGAGCACTCTCACCACTGAGTGTCTGCCATGGACTTGTAGGTCTTTGAGCATCAATCTGAGCAGCAAACAGCTGAATCAGAATAATAGCACAGAGTAAAAACTTTGAATCTTGCTTGCCTCGCCAAATATTCATCAGTGCAAGCGAGATTTGGGGAAAATTCATATACTAGCTATTTGAGGTTTCACAATTTTGTGAGACAAATTTTGTTTATTGTATTTGAATGCAATGAACACATAAAAATATTCCAGAAATTTTAAGCTCGCACAGAGATATACTTTAATCTATACAAGATGGAGAAACAAAAACACAGAAAATGCTCTAAATAACACAAAAAACAACAACAAATGAATGTTATTGATGGTATAGTGGACCAATTACTGCAGACCCTAATCAACACAACAATAACACTAAAGTCTCTTCATAGTTTTAGCTTGACAACTCAGCTTTTTCAAGTTTAGCAAAATTAACACCTAATAAAAATATTTTATTAATACACATCATCTACTAACTTTTATTATTTTTAACTTAAACCCATTAAAAGCCCAAATGTTTTTCTTTGTCAATCTTTATTTTATTTTTTACCAAACCTAAGCCCAAATAATAAATAACAGCCAAAAAAAAAATTATCTTTTACCATCTCCAAATCCAAATAATAAATAACAACAAATAAAAAAATTAAAGGGATAAAGAGGTAGAAAGCTAAGTGTTGGACTTTTATTAGGAAAATGACAAGAGGTAAATACGCTAGAAAGAAATGGCTAAAAAGTGACGAACAGTGTTTTGTGGGCTTGGTTATTTACGTTTCATGCCATTGCATGCGCGTGGTTGAGCAGAAGAGTGATATATGTGTTGACGAGTATTAATGAGGTTGGGTGATAGCGATCTGTGGGCATTTATGGAGGGAATTAAGGCTGACCTTCAGTTCCGTATTAAATGAGGGGACACAAAATATTCGCCGCCGCCTTACGTAAGCATGATCTAAATGGACGTGATAGCGAGTTAATGCAATTTGTAATGCTGCAACAAGATCGTCGACGGGTAGGGCGGGAATTTAAAATATCTCGGCACACTTAGATTTTTTGGAGTCTCCATATAGTCGGCACACTCAGAAACCAGATCTCCACATGCATATATGCACATCCGATTCGATATATAGTCATCCATTTTACTAGTTAGACTTTAATGGTTAGTAGAATTAGTTGCATATTCAAGTCAAGACAAAGAGATCACATTCATATATGTACATCCTCATTGATATATAGTCATCAATCATTTCATTTAGGTAACTTAACTACAAATCTGCGTAGCCCCGTATCCTACATTATAGATCTCCAACAATATAATCGGATTCATGATTACGTGGATATCTAAATGTTAACATGCGGCCTTATAAATCAGCATGCGGGTTTTTTTATAGGTGGCTGTGACTTCAATAATCGAAGGCGAATTCGATGGAACCCCCCAAGTGCCTTCGCATGGAGATGGATCACTTGGAGATGCTTACTGCAGAGGGTACATGATTTTGTAGAGATATGTTTGTTGGGGGTCAGAAAGGTGGTGCTCCACCGACACAACCTACGGTTATACAAAGTCAGAAACGTGAAGGGAAATGTACGGGGAAAAAAAGTCCGGCAAGGCTTAAGAAAGTCAAGGAAGGTAGGAAATCAACAAAGGCTCGGCAGAAAGATGAAAGTGTGCCTAACACGATGGAGATGATATCAGCTATCTTAACCCTGCAGTCTCGTTTGTTCCTGAACACCCAGCCCAGATATAACTCATCTCCCTCATATACCACATCCAATATGACATTCTCTGTTTGATCCAATCATGTGAAAACCCGTTTGTCAAATATATTAGACGTCTATAACCTATTGTACACGTTTATTTAGTATTTTTTAACAGCCATTTATATATCTGTCCATTATATGTAATGACACCCCACCAATATTAATAGACAGTTATATAAGCTCGTAGATTAACATATATTATAGATGCATGAGCAAGATAAACATCTATGAAAGAAAATAGCACACTATAATATAAATTACCAGCACATGATCCGTTGCGCACATATAACAAACTAAGAAATAACATAACCACTTTAAAATGATATATCACTCCACTAATGTTAATAGACATCTACGATACACTTATATCATCACAAATCCCCATCATTTCAAATAACCGGTTACAATTCCATCACCGTCCATCCACTTCGGCATCTCGTACGTAAGCTCGATATTCTCCTCATCCATGTCAAAAGAAGACAAAAAGGGTTCAATATATCAGGGGTTACGTGCAGATATGGTTGATCTATGACACTTTGTGGATATCTATTTCCTTGGGTAAATGGGCACATGAAAGTAGATCTGGGTTTGATCGGCGATGTTTGTAGTTGTCTATGTACGGATAATGGATGCCAATTAAAGGAATAGGATTGCGATAGCGTAATATGTGTTCTACTCATAACCCCGTAAACGAGAATTGATGTAAAACCCTTGACCCTATCTAACCAATTGCATGTTGTGTCAGTTGGGTCATAAGAGTAGATAAGACCAAAAATCGGAGGAGAAATACCACAACAAGAAATTTTATAACCAAATCACAATTGAAGGCCGAGAACACCAAAGACGGAGGGCAACGATAATCGTGAGCCAAGACATCGAAAAACTAAAATGGGGTTAGGCGTATAGGAGCGGAAGTTTGGATTACCTCAATTACCAGTGTCCGGCGTCCGGGTCTCGGAAAATCAACTGCGGAGATGATTTGCTCCTCGGGAACGGAAATACTGGGAGACTGAATGAAATCGGTTAACTAGCCTATGACAGGCAACAAATAAGAACAGCCG